AAGGCTCTTCCAGACAGTAACCCAACATACTACTGGAAAAATGAACAGCAGACCCCAATTCTATCCAAAGGAATATTGACAATGGATTGCCGTAGATGAGGAACAGCTGACCCTCCTGGAACAGGGACCTCTGGCTGACTAGATTTACCAGAAGGGCAGACAGGGGGGAATGGATGAGGGTTCTGACAACACAGTGGACAGTGACAGGGATGGCAGAGTATTGAGCCTCTAGTGGGAGAGGAAGGCTGTCTATCTGACGAGTTTGTATTCATGCTCAGATGCCGAGGAGCTCAGAAGGTGGGCGACTGTGACCAGTGATAGTCATGCATATAGAGATTAGAAATGCATGTGAAAACGTCTCAATGTCAATTGCTTTGGAATGAATTCTTCTGTATGAAAAAAAAAAATAAAAAAATAATGATTAAAAAACAAACAAACAAAAAAAAATTTCAGTATGTGACCAACTTATCAACTTCTTTCTACAGATGGCAGTCAGTCCTCATCAAATGGAACTTTTAAAACTAAATCTATTTTACAAATTAGTTCTGATAGCGATTGATACATTATATATTTTTATTTTAATTCATTTTTGTAAATTTCATACATTTTGATCATATTTAGACCCCTCCCGTATCTGTACACCTCTTATAGCCCCCCTCCCCCACTGAGCTACATTATTACTTCTTCCATTGATAAGACACAAAGTTCTCCAGAGTAAGTTCTTCATAGTGCTCTCATTTCTACCACACTTACCTGTAGGAAGAACCTCTTCTTACACAATGTGTTCTTGACACAAAGATACTTGATCTAGTGTTCAGTTGATTTGCTCAGATGCTGGAGGTGAAACTGGCTGGTGCTAGATTTACAGAAAACCTTTACATATTTCTCATCCTTGATACTGGTTTTCAACAATCTTCTTGACCCAAAGTAATTTTTACATTATTAATGACTTTAAAAATCAATGCCTTTGAGATTGGAGAGATGGCTCAGTGGTTAAGAGCAACTGGCTGTTTTTGCAGAGGACCCAGGTTTGATTCCCAGCACCCACTTGGTGACTAACAACCATCCTAACTCCACTTCAAAGGAATCCAACACCCTCTTCTGACACAGGTGTAATCTCCCTACATGCAGGCAGTACACTCATACACATGAAATAAAAATAATACAATATTTTTAAAGGAATAAAAGAAAAACAATGCCTTTATAAAATGGAAAGCCAGTACCATCTGATAAAGCTGGAACACAGCAGGCCTGTCAAATTGCAACATGGGAATAAATTTGGGGTGGTTTTAAATGGTATGATGAAGGATTCAACTTTACTTGAAGGATTAGTCATTAATTTGAGATCTTGATAAGATCTGTGTTTTGGAAGGTGAGCTTTCAAATCATATTTCCATGATTTAACAAGCTGAATCCTTCATTATTACAGTTAAATAATTCAGAGTATCTATCACCCAATTTCTAGAAAAATGTAAATGATTAGAATGTTTGCAGTTTTAGGGGTTTTTTTCTTCTATAATGAAGTACTTTCATACAAAACTCTTAATTTGGCAGCTTGTATTTTCCATTGATAAATATTAATAACAATGTTTTTCTGTTATGTACAAAGTCATTTTTTTCAGCCAGAAAATATTACAGAATTAAATTGTTAATTTCATGGTGGGTCTTATGAAAAACATTAAGAATTTAAATGAGCCCTTATCTGAACAAGTATGACAACTTTACTGGTAACGATGAAGCACTGGAAAACAGGGAGATCAATTCTCTTAAATATTTTTCCAAACTTTTTGGTGTAAGAGGATACAAAAGTTTTGAATAATCTGCGTATATCTGAAATTTTATGATTGCTCCCTTATTACGAGCTTCCAAGGGCACAGTCCATAACCTCAGTGAAATTAGTTCAACTTGATAAAAACTACTACAGTGGTATAATTTAGAAGATGGTTAAGTGCTAAATCAACACAGGTGTTGAGAAAGGCAGTAATCATTGAGGCATCAAGTGATGAAGGAGGACTTGGAGAAGGGGAGACTTGTGCAGGATCTCATAATTCAGAAAGGCAGAAGAAGGATTCTCTGAAAGGAGCAGCATGTCCAGTGAGCATAGACCTTGGTCTGCCTGGACTACAGGGTGTTTACTGGGATGTTCTAAAAGAGTAGGCTAGTTAGGTTTAACCAAATCATGAGCATGACTCTAAAGCTGAACATTTAGTCTTAATAAAAGCTAAATTTAAATTACTTTGCTTCCCATAGAAATTCATCACAGTTTGAAAATGGAACATCAAAATCCTCAAGTCATTTTCCATTCAAATTATTTATTATTTAATTAGGGTATTTGTTGCAGGGTGAGCATCCATGATCTGAAAGTATGAAGTCTGAAGTGCTCCAGAAGCAGAAACTTTTGACTGTCAACTCATACAATGGCTAATTCTATACCTGGCCTCATATGATACATCACAGTCAAAATAAGTGGCACACCCAAAAAAGTTACCTTCAGGCTATTTGTATAAGATGTAAATGAAACAAATTAAGTTTGGGTTTAGATCTTATTTTCAAGATATTTCATTATTTGTACATAAATACCCATAAATCCAAAAGAATTTGAAATCTAAAATATGTCTGATTCTAAGCATTTCAAATGAGGGATACTCAACCAGAGTAATAAGATATTTCCTAAAGGTAATAAAGAAATGTAATCACTACATTGGTAATCTTTGCTTGTTATATTCTGAGTGTGATCAAATCTATTCATTCTGAGGTATTTGGTGAGCATACTCATTGTGGGCACTAAGCATTGAATGAAAGTTACTACCCTTAGCGGCCTTCCATTCTGGTTTTTGAGGGGAAGCAGCAGAAAGATGTTCATTTAGGGAAATGAAAGGTATGTTGTGATTTTCAATAAACCTCTCAGAGAAAGGCCACTGAAATAAGGCTATTTCTATAGAACTAGTAAGTAAACGTTAATAACTATGACATTTTCCAAAAAGTTTTCACAGTTGATTTTTCACATAATAGTGTTATTTTCTGAGGTATAAAAAAATGGCACTTTCACGTGGCCACCCAATATTTTTTTTTTTTTCAGATGAATGCATTGGACACCCTTGGTCAGACTGCTTTGCATAGAGCTGCCCTAGCAGGTCATCTGCAGACCTGCCGCCTCCTGCTGAGTTATGGCTCAGATCCCTCCATCATCTCCCTACAAGGCTTTACAGCAGCACAAATGGGAAACGAAGCAGTACAGCAGATTCTGAGTGGTGAGTTACTGCAACTAGATTACATTTCCCATTTCCACCCATGCACAGACTTTATGCCCCTGTTTTAAGTAGCTCCTTCGAATATATTTTTCACCTGATTTTTTTTCTTTCCCTTCTGTGCCTTTTTTTTGCTTACAGTTTAGCCCTTCCCCATCTGCTTTTTTTGATAGGATGAGGAAATATCAGGAGATTTATACCATCTTTATGTTTCTTTAGCATGAAATTGAATACCTGACTTATAGGGTAGCATAATCAAAAGTGGCTTAAAATTCAAGATAAAATTATGGGAGTGTAGCTCTAACAAATAGAGAAAATTCAAAGGCATTCCTTTTGTAATTAATGAGCTTCAATTGTTCTTTTTCTTTTTTTGTTACTTTGGGTTTTGTTTTTTTTGTTTTGTTTTCTTTTGTTTTGTTTTGTTTTGTTTTGTTTTGTTTTGTTTTGTTTTGTTTTGTTTTGTTTTGTTTTGTTTTGTTTTGTTTTGTTTTGTTTTGTTTTGTTTTGTTTTGTTTTGTTTTGTTTTGTTTTGTTTTGTTTTGTTTTGTTTTGTTTTGTTTTGTTTTGTTTTGTTTTGTTTTGTTTTGTTTTGTTTTGTTTTGTTTTGTTTTGTTTTGTTTTGTTTTGTTTTGTTTTGTTTTGTTTTCTTTTGTTTTGTTTTGTTTTGTTTTGTTTTGTTTTGTTTTGTTTTGTTTTGTGGAAGGTGGTGGTTGGGTTTTTTTGAGACAGGGTCTCCCTGTAGCCCCAGCTGGCCTGCAGCTTGCTGTGTAGACAGGCCTGGCCTCAATCCACCTGCCTCTTGTCTCCCAAGTAAGTGCTGGGATTAAGAGTGTGTACCACCACCACTCCAGGCTTTCAGTTGTTCTTACATATGGCCTAGTCTAACCAATTTTTTGTCTTTCTTAATTTCAATTAGGCAGTTAAGCTGTTCTGAGATTATATTTTCCTGATTTAAATGTACTTAGAAGCTCTTCATGAACATCACAGTGAATGCCAGTGCAATGTGAGATATTTTATTTAGTTTGTTGACAGAGATCAAACATAAAAGTGATAAGAAAACAAGTACTGACTCCTTCTTCCCAAACTAGAGAGTAACTGTCAGCTTACTGAAAACTTACAAATGAGATGTGAAGGAATTTTAATATAATTGGCTCTTCTTTCATATCCTTTGAATTTTGTCTGTGAATTATGTCTACTGTAGAATGACAAAAACTGAAAGAGTGAGATGGCGAAGACTATAGACTAGCAGTCGGAATCCAGGTCACTCTTTACTGCCTCTGGCCCACACTGCTTTACTCTAAGGCACGATGCCTCCATCTTATAGCAAATATTTTAGGACATCAATTTTACTATTCAGAATTAAAAATCTTAGATTATCTGATGTATGTCATATGATCTATCTTTTTTTTTTTTTTTTGGTCTTTTTGAATAAAATCTACATTAAAACTTCCCAAACACCTACATCAAAAAACCCTAACTAGTCAGACATAGTAGCCCACACCTTTAATCCCAGTAAGTTCAAGGCCAGTCCGGTGTATACAGCAAGTTCTAGGTCAGCCAGAGTGCACAATGTGAACTTCTGTATAATGCAATACATTGTATGTAATGTAATATATAATATAGTATACTACATAGAATATATAATATAAGGAAGAACATGATAGTTATGGTAAAATGTATAATTATATAACTTGGACAAATGATGCTAGAAACCCAAAACTGACCCTACACATTTTTAAGGGCTCCCAAGAAGAATAGCCCAGTTGAGAATCACTGCTGCACACTGAAGCTTGGAACCTTTCAAGATACATGGAGATGAGGATAAATATCTTTCCTTAGCGAAACAGCCTCAAAAAATAATATTGCAACATTAAGAAAACTCATGATTAAGATTCTTTTCCTCCTCCTGGTTCACTCTTAGATGGCAATCTTTTGACTTCCATCTAGTGAAGGAAAGCCTATCTAGGATATCCTCATTGTCAAAATGAGTAAAAGCTCTCTTAAGGGGTAGAATTTTCCAGTATAAGATTGTGAGCTTGAACTATAAAATACTTGACTTGTACAGAGCATTGGAATATTTGCTGAAAGATCATTTTACTCCCTCGATAGAAAATATTTTTCTCACTTATACTAATTTTTTAAGTTGTGATTTTTTTTGTGAAAGCACTATAAAATATTCTCTTATGCCTTTTGCTGAGAATCATTTAGTACTAAATTTTAAGTTACTTTCTATAGTTATAACGATAAGTCAGGCAAAAGTATAGTCTATACATAAAACTTTCTAACAATACTACACATAATTTTTAGTGCTGGTTAACAAACTAGGGATGAAACATTGAAGAAATCAAGTAAATTAGACCCATGTGATGCTTTTAAAATGCCTTCTAAGTAAAAGCAGTTCAAATATGTGACTTCTGAGGAAAATAAAAGGGAATATTGAATCATAAATAAAAATTTCAATTACTTTTATAATCCTGCTTTAAAATTAATTAGTGATACATATAGGTAAGTAAATGCTTAATTTAGGAACTAGTAGAACTTGTTAGTATGTCACGTTCACTATGGATCTAGAAAGATAATGAAAATGATAGAGCTATCTGGTAAATAGGGCCTTGAAATACCTCTTGGGATTGGAGAGATGACTCCATGGTTAAGAGCACTGGTTGCTCTTGCAGAGGACCCAGGTTTGGTTCCCAGCACCCACATGGTAGCTAACAACCACTTGTAACTCCAGTTCCCAGGGATCTGATGCTCTCTTCTGGCCTTTGTGGGCATTGTATTCACATGGTGTACTTATATACATGTAGGCAAAACATTCATAAAAAGTAAATTTAAATTTTTAAAAAACTTTTAATTAAAGGTTTTAGGTTTTGTTTTGTTTTGTTTTAATTGGCATTATTTTATGTTTGGAAAAGGATGTTGGTTTGTATACTAATATTTTTACATACCCAGCTCTCATTTTACTTTTCATTTTGAGATAAGGTGTTGGTGGTATAGTGGTGAGCATAGCTGCCTTCCATTTTGAGATAAGGTCTCACTAAGTTGCCTAGACTATCCTTGTACTCACTGTGTAGCCCAGGCAGTCCTTGAATTTGTAATCTTCCTGCCTCACCCTCTCTAGTACCTGAGAGTTGTTCTACCAAGTCCTGCTATATTTTTTCTAAAAACAAGTCTGTTCTAAGCCTGCTGTAGGTTTATAACAGATGCAGAACCCCACAATTGGTATAGTGATAAATCAGCGTATATAACTTACTTTCCCTCTTTGACCATGACTAAACCTTTCTGTACCATAGTTCTTAGACACACTCTTATATGTGTACAAGACATTTTGCTTGCCTGAAAAATTCTACTCTTGTCATTCCTCATCAACATAGTTTGCCAGTAAAGATACCATGGGTGTTTTGGTGAGTTTCGTCAGTTGCCAAAATCACTGTCATAGAACATGGTAGAGAGACATTCTTACATATAAACACAGTAGTGCACATACATGTACAGTTAGATGATTCAGAAAAGAACAGAATAAAGGCAGCCAAAAGAAGAGCTAAGGCTCGACACATTGACCCTAATATGAAGTAACCAGAAATCAGTTCAACAAATGCTTTATGAATTGTTCTGTCTGGGAGAAGGAATTTGAAGAGGAACACAGATCTGGTTCCTCTCCTCAGCAATTCCAAATGCAGTGTAACACTTTTAAAGAAAAGTAATTTTAAAATATACTTCATTATTTGAAATACTCTTCTTTCCTCTGTAGTCTTAGTATTTTATCTGCTAATTATTAAAATATGCTAAGTACTAAATATGATCAAATAAATGGTATTCCACTGAGGAATTCTCACAACTTCATCTATAAAAGTCACTCTTCTGAACAAAGCACTTTAGAAGAACTAAAGTATTTCTTCTAAAATATGAAACCTTTTCATAGCCTCACTTGATCTTCACACTTCGACAGTGAATTCAAATACTGTCTTTGATTGTAAGATAATGCAGTCTTAAATCTGAAAGAGACTTTGAGGGAAACCAGCTCTTTTTAAATGTAAAATCTAAGTATCGGGCTTGCAAAAATGGCTCAATGGATAAAGGTACTTGCCAAGCAAGCCTGACAACCTAAGTTAGATCTCCAGGACCCATGGTAGGAGAGAACCAACTCCTAAAAGTTATCCTGTAGTCTCCACATGTGTGCCATGATGTACACATGTGTCCCACCCCCATGCATAATAATAAAATGAAAATATAAAAAACTAAAATATTGCATGATTGTCCAAAGTCTTTTCTAGGGCCCGGACCTACAGTCCAGTCCTGCACTCCATATGTACTGGTACACATGCTTTATAAAAGCCTCACTTTAATGTGAACATATTTTGGACAATACAAACTTTTTTCTTTAGAAGCCCATTTATTTGAGCCAATGTTGAATGATTTTTGGTATGTTTATATTGTATTAATCAAAATGCCTCCTCTGTAAGCCTCCAAACCTAGCAACCCAATTTAATTATAATTATATTCAATTGAGCGTTAGTTTCATGCATTCCAATTATACAGACATTTGAAACTGCACTTCTGAAGCCATTATAGAAATATGAATTAAATGTCTATAGTAGGCTTTTTATTTTGTTCACAGATTATTCTCTGTCTATAGTCATTTTACTTTGAGAAGTAATGTTTGTGTTTTATACTTAGGACACTTAAGCTAAAAAGAAATAAGCCATGAAAATCCAGTAGCTTCCCTAGATTTACAAACAGATCTGCATCAAAACTTTGCTATAGCTTTGTGAAATTCAACAAATTCTGAAGCTAGGTTTGGTTTCTTGGTTCTAGGTTTTCTCATTCCCCTTTGTAATCATTTTTAGCCAGGAAATGGTGGATGGGATAATGACGATAGAAAGGTATTTCTCTGTATTAATATATTTAAATCTGGCTTAGCATGATATATAAATTGAAGTAAGAAAATACTTCTTATATGAAAAAGATTGGGGAAAGAACCATTGTATTACATCACAGAAATGCCCAACCTCTTGGCCTTATTTTACTCACTGAACAGTCTTCCTTCCATACCTTCCTGCAGTACCCCAAGTCCATCCTTTTCTTTCCTACAGAGAGTACCCCAATACGCACTTCTGATGTGGACTATCGACTCCTGGAGGCATCCAAAGCTGGTGACTTGGAAACTGTGAAGGTAATTCTACGTCTTTAATGGTCTGGGTAGTGCTGTTGAAATTTGGCTACCCAGTTCATTTTGAAGCTTCTAAACAAAACTACTCAAATACTAACTTTTCTTGCTGTTGTTTAAGGTTTAACAGAATAAAAAGCAAGTGGGCAGGGTATATCTACAGACAGGAGAATTCTTTACTAATAAGATTTTCCAAGTGTGTGTCTTATAGCAATTAAGCCATTTAAAAAAAAAACAAGAAAAAGATAGATATACACACATTTTTATTACATTTTATTTAATTCTGTGAGTGGGATGGGGGAGGGGTGTGCAAGTGTGTTAATCTTTATGTTATACTATTTGTTGGGAGTTAATTTTCTTTTCCTACCATATAGGACCTGGGCTTTGAGTTCAGGTTGTCAGGTTTACCTAAGTTATCACATTGGGCAAAATATAGTTTTTAATTCTATCTATATGTAATGGGCAAATAATATATCTTCAGGTTTCCTAAACAATGCATTTACAGTAAAGGAAAAATTATTTTTATCAGTGGAATGCAAGGGTCAGAACAAAGAACAAATTGAGAATTCAGTTTAGTAAGTTTTTTTTTTTTTAAGGACTTTAGAAAATATTAGAAGTTAGTTGGGTGTGGCAACCTGTATGTTTAATCCTATCAAGAAGCTGAGGCAGAAGGATTGTTGTAAGTTCAATGATAGCCTAGGCTATCAACCTGCCTTGCCCAGAGGGCAAGGGAGGCTATTGCTTTGACATTCCTAAAGAAATGAAATAGAAGAACTTGTAAATTTTAAAAGCGGATATTTCCTGACCCACGTTAAAGGAAACAACTCGGAGTATAGTTCTGGGTAGCCAGTTTAAGTGGGTCTGATTTGAGCATAGAACAACTAAGAGCATTCTAGTAACACTAGCAGATCCCTGTGTGAGCAGCTTAGGGAGGCAGGATAGACAGATATGAGAAGGGAGGCTTCATTTGTTAGAAATGCCTGCCCTGTGGGATTTTCTGTTGGATTAGGGTTTGGACCCAGGGCATGTTGATAAAGATTAAATTATCCTATAGTAAGAGTACTTGTGTCACTATAAAGCCAAAGATGTTGATTCTCTTTTTGGGTTTTTTGGGTCTTTTTTTTTTTTTGGTCTTTTTGAAGCAGGGTCTCCCTGTAAGCCCCAGCTGTCCTGGAACTCACTATGTAGACCAGGCTGGCCTTGAACTCACAGAGATCTGCCTGCCTCTACCTCCCAAGTGCTGGGATTAAAGGCGTGCGCCACCACGCCCAGCTCCTTTTGGTTTTTTTAAGACAGCTTTGTGGCCCAGACTGTTCTCAATTCACCAAGTAACCCATGCTGGCCTCCAATTGTAGATCCTCCTACCTCACCCTTCCTAGTACTGGGATTTTAGATGTGTCCCACCATGCCTGGCTATAATACTGATTTTTTTTTTAACCATCATTTTTATTATCTAATATGTGGAAAATATTGACTGAAATTGCAGTGATCCAAACTGCTACAATGTTTTTGGAGGAAAATCTATGAATAAATGTTAATGTTCCTATTGTCTCTCTGTTTCTCTGGATGTACACCACAAAAGCAACTTTGTAGCCCTCAGAATGTGAATTGCAGAGATCTGGAGGGCCGGCATTCTACACCCTTGCACTTTGCTGCAGGTTATAACCGAGTGTCTGTTGTGGAGTACCTTCTACATCACGGAGCAGATGTCCATGCCAAAGACAAAGGGTATGTGTCAAAATTCAGCTGTTTGCCCTTCATTCTCTTTATAGTTAGCTTTCTAAAAATTAGGACTTTTGAGGTTGTACAACCTTTTCCCCATTACAGTAATATGCATGTTTTTTTTAAATCATAAAGTATACAAATGTACAGTGTAGAAAGTGAAAATTCTATCATCTAGCCCCCAAAGATACAGCATAAGCACTTTGTATGCAGTTCTCCAGCACTATCAATTGCATACACCAATTCTGAATCATTCAAACTGTGAGCTCTCCTTGCTTAGCACCTCAGTATTTGCATTGTTGTTGGTAGTGTGTCTTTTAGCATACATGACAATGCCTTCCTATGTAGCCTATTTGAAGTTGACCTACTAGTGCATCTGGAATGTCTTTCCATTCAGTACAGGAGTGATCTCATCTTGTTAATGCCTGTGTGAAGGATTTTATTTTACTATATGAATATTTCCATATAATTTATAATTATTTATCCCATTTTATTTTTTGCTATTAAAAGTATATAATTTCCTTTAATCCCAGTATTCAGGAGGCAGAGGCAGGTGGAACTTTGTGAGTTTGAGGCCATCCTTATCTACATAGTGAGTTCGAGGCCAGCTGGAGCTACAAGGAAACCCTGTCTCAAAAAGACTTTAAAAAATACATAAATATATGTATATGTGTGTCTATTTTTTTTCTCTTCCAAAAAGAAGCCATCCATCCCAGAGTCATTACTATTATATAGACACATAATTTTGTCTCTACTAATTTAAATATTCTGTTTATTTATTTTTGTTTTTGTTTTAAGTTTATGTGTATGAGGGTATTGCCTGTATGCACCTGTGTCCTGCAGTGCCTGATATGGTCAGAAGAGGGCATCGGATCCCCTGGAACGGGAGTTATGAATGGTTGTTAGCCACCATGTGGATGCTGGGAATTGAACCCAGGTTCTCTTCAAGAGCAGCCAGTGCTCTAAACTGTTGAGTCATCTCTCCAGCCCCTTATTCTGTATTTTTTATATTAATTTGATGGATTCTTTGACTATCTGGACAAAAGTTAAAGCAGCTACTTAGAGATATGAGAAGAGTATTTTAATTGAAATCAGTTTCCATATTCTGAGTTAATTTTATACCTACTCAAAACAAGCCAGAAGCTTTCTACACAATTACATAGCATAGTGCTACAGAGTTAAATTGTGCCATTTAGACTTCAGTTAACCATTATGTGTTTATCTTTTTCAAGGGATGCCTCATACATGAATATGTAATAGCAGTATTGCTAGCTGTTTCAAAATATTGTAGTGCACTAGAGAGCAGCCAGCATTTGTTTCCAACTCATTTTAGTACTAGCATATTTCAACACAGATTTTAAAAAGACACTCATCTCTAAATAAAAAGGCACTTGATATCTTGCCTTTGCCTTGTCTTTGGTCCCCCACTTCTGAGAGGATGTCTTCTTGACTTCCATTTCATAGACTGTCACACTTTTACAGAACTTAGTCATCTCCAGAATAGTTTGCTCATAAGATGAGGGAACTAGATATTCTTTTTTTTTTTTCTCTTTTTTCTTTTATTTTTTTTCCTCCTTTTTTCTTTTTTTCTTTCTTTTTTTTGGTATATAGAATATATATGCATGTTTTTTTTAATTTTTAAATAGAAATCTTTTAAGGATTAGATAAAAGCTCCCAAATATTTTCGACATTTTTGGGCCTTTGGAACAGAGTATGTTGACTTTTAGCCAAGAAACTGGTTACTTTTCTTTGGGGTCTTTTTACCTAACTGCCTAGCCAATTCCTACCTCCTATTCTTATCACACCATCCTCTGAAGAGGTTACCCAAATTGCAGTAGGGAATTAGGGATGCAGACCACTCTGGCTTCTTAGATATTCTTAACTGACTATAATGTATAATTAGCATCTTTTTTTTCCTTAGTGAATTCTCTTCTGAATCACTTGAAAGTTTTCATTGCTTGGTATCTCAATATTTAAATTGTTCAGGGAAACCACCACTGAATCATTGTGAATTTAAAAATAAGAACCAAAACAAAAGATGGAACCTACCTAAGTAGAATTGCCTTGTGTATGGTATATACTGTGTATTTGCTATACTGTATATCTTACAAGTAAGCTTCACAATTTTTAATAGTAAAATCCAAATCAAAGAATCTGAATCCTGGGAAAAGCAGGCTGTAGGTTAGTTATTCTTGATAGTACTTTGTAGTATACAGAGCTTTACATTTCTGGGTTGAAACCTGGAATTTAAAGTATTGTGTTAGACCTGGTAGTACAGGCCTATAATTTCCTTCACTTGGGAGATTGAGATAGTAGTATTGTGAGTTCAAAGTCTGTTAAGCTATTGAGTGAGTTCAATACTGTCTTGCATAATGTAGTGAGACCTTGTCTCAAAATAGAAAAGACTGAGGTATCACTCAGTGGTAGAGCACCTGCCTAGCATGCATAAGCCCTGGGTTTGATCTCCAGTACTACCAAAATAAAAGTATTTTGATGGTATTTTATTCTATGTGTATATTTCTACATGTATTTCAAGGCTAATGATTGCTGTGACATAAGGAGACCTTATGTTGGAAGGAATATTTTTAATTATTAATGCGTGGATTAGTTAAAGGAATGTGTTGCAAGTGCAGAGAGGAGACACTGAGCCTTTCTTTCCTCCAGGAAGCAGTTTATTCTTGCCAATACCTGGCTCTGTAGTTTCCTCCCAAAAGACAGAGACCAAAGAAAGAATCAGCCTTTTATACCATTTATTAGCTCCCCTTTACAGTTCAGTTTCTTTGTCTCCCATATATGGTAATATACATATTCTGATTGGGTGCTCTGTGCAACAAGGTCCTGACAGGCTGAACTGTATCTGTGTACTCAGGCAGAGATCTCACTGCATTCCTTTTTCCTTGTCCTGGGGTGAGTTACAACTGTGCATCAAATAAAGGTGCTTGATATGTAAGCCTCGTGACCTGAATTTGATCCCTGGAACCTACAGAAAGGTAGAAGGAGGGCTGGTGAGATGGCTCACTGGTTAAGAGCACTGGCTGCTCTTGCAGAGGACCCGGGTTCAATTCCCAGCATCCACGTAGCAGCTAACAACTATCTGTAACTCCAGTTCCAGGGGATCTGGTACCCTCTTCTGACCTCTGTGGGCATTGCATGACACGAGTGCACCTACCTATATGTAGGTGATACACTCATACACATTAAAGTAATAAATAAAATATTAATAACAACTAAAAAGAAAGGTTGACAGAAAGAACTTACTCCATAAAGTTCTCCTCTGACCTCCACATGTATACCATGGCACATGCACCCCCACCACACACATCCTGTACATATACGTACACCATGCACACATTCACAACAATAATTCATCAAAATTAAAAATAAAGCTAAAATTTATTAATTTTTACTTAGATATGAATGACCATATCTTAAAGAGAAATTCTTTCTCTTTGAGTGGATGTTCAATATAGCCAGGCCATAAAAGAAGGTGGTGGTGGTGGTGGTAGTTCTTACTGACGGGGTCTCATATAGCCCAGGCTGGCTTTGAACTCCCAGTGTAGCCAAGGGTGACCTAGAACTCCTGACCCTTCCGTATCCACTTCTCAAGTGCTGTAACAATCATTTTAACAAAAGTTGTGTTTTGTAACTTTAATTTTCTTTTGTTTAGCGGCCTGGTACCGCTTCATAATGCCTGTTCTTATGGGCACTACGAGGTAGCTGAGCTCTTGGTGAGGCATGGAGCTTCTGTCAATGTGGCGGACTTGTGGAAATTTACCCCTCTTCATGAAGCAGCCGCTAAGGGGAAATATGAAATTTGCAAGCTCCTTCTAAAAGTATGTAGCTATAAAGTAGTTTTCTGTGTTTGAGCCATTACTTGAAATTAAATCAGAGTATTTTGTTCTATTAAAAACAGGTGCTGAGAAGACTGCATCTGCTTTCTGTTTTGCAGAGGAAAGTCACAGTGTGATATGATACATAGCTTTGAGTAGTACCAGACAGTCTTTCTGAGGAGATTTGATTAAGGTCATTCTATCACAGTTCATCAAGGAATTTTTGGAGAGAGTTTACTTAATTTGCATGGACTGACCGATAGATGTAATATTGATATTAGAAAAAAAAAATGGTCCAAGGAAAGTTTTCAGTCAAGTTGTTCTTTACAGTATGATTATTGCTACCACCATTATTAACTATTGTTACTTTATCACATTAACTCATTCCTTATTGAGTATCAGTTACATGTGTCATGTAAGACATGTAGTTATGTGGTTTCCTATCTTAACTAGAGGAAAATTGTTCTGGTTATATGTAAGTACAATTTATAATTTCCACATTGGTCAACAGTAGTCTGTATCATGCATATAATAAAAATCCTTCTTGACCTATTTATTTTATAGGTGTAGATAATTTTTAAATTTTTTTTAAAGTTTATTTATTCATTTTTATTTTATGTGTATGTGTGTATTTTTTAAACACTTAAATATCTGATTTGCAATAAGATAATGAAATATGTTTTTAAAACTGAAACTTTTTTGTTGATGGTGTTTAGAATTAAACTTTATCCAACCTGTGTTTATTCGTTTTTGTTTTTCATAATGCCTCCTAAATATCTTTGTCATGTGAGCTGGGCTATAGCTCAGAGTGCTTGCCTAGCATGTGTTGGGCCCTTGTTATAATCACCAGTACCACTAAAAAAGTTATATATATCTTTGTGCAAATGAAATCTAGCTAGAATTAACATTCAGATCATTATTAAAAGAAAAGAAGTTTCTGAGCTGGAGAGATGGCTCAGCAGTTAAGAGCACCGACTGTTCTTGCAGAGGACCCAGTTTTGATTCCGAGCACCCACATGGCGGTTGACAACCATGTCCATAACTCAGTTCCAGGGGATCTGATGCCTTCTTCTGACCTCCATGGGCATTGCACAACATGGGTACACTTGCATACATGTAGGCAATACATTCATACACCTAAAACAAAAATAATAAAATATTTTTTTTTTAAAATGAAGTTTACAAAGACAGCTTCAAGTCTAAGGAAAAGTTTACTACATGACAGGCAAGATACTCAGTATCTTCCTGACGTCATCACTGTTGATCCTGAAGCTTTAATTAGTACGTGGAAAAATGTTATAAAATATTTGCAAAATAAAGCAGAATGTGGATTCTCTTTTTAAAATGCTTATAGAATAGATTTCTTTCCAGATGAGTAAAGGTGTAAAGTTGAGTACCTAATATGTACATATTACCTACCCCTTTGTACAAAGGTGCTGTCAAAACCACACACACCATTTGGTATTTGTCTTTACAGCATGGGGCAGATCCAACTAAGAAGAACAGAGATGGAAATACACCCCTAGATTTGGTCAAGGAAGGAGACACTGATATTCAGGACTTACTGAGGGGGGATGCTGCCTTATTGGATGCTGCCAAGAAGGGCTGCCTGGCCAGAGTGCAGAAGCTCTGTACCCCAGAGAATATCAACTGCAGAGACACCCAGGGCAGAAACTCAACACCTCTGCACCTGGCAGGTAAGTGTCACTGTGCTTCCTCATCTCATTTTCCCTTCTAAAATACAGTATACCAAAAATGTAAAAGAGGGTCAGTAAGATGGCTCAGCAGGTAAAGGCACTTGCTACCAGGCTTGAGAGCCTCCAGTTCCTGGAACGCACGTGGTGGAAGCAAAGAACATGAAAGGAACTACTTCTAGCTTGTTGTTCTTGTTTGGTTGGTTGGGTTTTTTGAGACAGGGTCTCCCTCTAGCCACAGCCGGACTGGAACTCACTATGGATACCAGACAGAGATCTACCTGCCTCTGTCTCCCAGGTGCTGGAATTAAAGGCCTGCCCCAACATGTTCAGCCCCTAAAACTACTTTCTTTCTTTTTTTTTTTTTTTTTCCTAAGAACTACTTTCAATTGGCAAATGTTGTATACTTACTGTAAAGTCTCTCAGTAATGCGAGAATAGTGTTAGCTTTTGAATCCAAAAGAATTAAATTTTTTTTTTCTGGTTGTCATTTGCTTATATGTAAGCTATATTTCTTGTCTTAACCTGACATGGCTCCCTTCTTTACTCTTAATAGCAGGCTACAATAACCTGGAAGTAGCCGAATACCTTCTAGAGCATGGAGCGGATGTTAATGCCCAGGACAAAGGAGGTTTAATTCCTCTTCACAATGCAGCGTCTTATGGGGTGAGCATGTTAAAGTTAGAATCTAAATCTAGAAGATTTTCCTGGCATTTATCACTTTATGAAATATATCCTGCATGGTAAGAATTGACTTCTAACCAGAACCTAGTTGAGCACAGTTTTATTCTTCTGTTTCCATTTCGTTTCACCGTCTCAGTTAACTTTATTTTTCGGTCAACACCAAACTTTTAAAAGCTCCCTGTCTCTGTATATTATCTAACACAATAATATGTGCATAATGTGTACTTGGTTAGTATTTATGGATATAGAATATATAGATAGATATCTTACCACTACCTCATATAGATTTTAGAAAGTATAAAAGCCAGGAGGCTCCTAAGTAGGCATGGAATTATAGTTGCTTATATTTATCCTCAGAATCTTAAAAATTTTAAGCAAGTAGTTGAACAGCTGGTGTGCATGCACTGTCATCTAGGGATTTTTATAGTCAATAGGGATATGTAGAAACACGTCGTAAGCTCATGAACTTTGGTGTTCATCTTATTTCTGCTGCGAGGCATCAGACCTGAGTGGGCCTTGGGCAGTTCTAGTTCTGACAAATGACATCAAGCACTATATGTGTTCCTTTTCCTGTTGAATACAGCTACAATGCTTGAAAGGTTGATTGGACTTTCACTTGGGATTTTAATCAGCTGAGCTCTATCAAACTGTATACCAACTGTATATCAGCTGTTCAGCCACTTGCTTAAAATCCACAGTTCCTGCTTTCCTTTTCTATCTCCAAAGTAAGAAAAAAATAGATTTTTTTTAAATAGAGTATTTTTTTCTCCTGTCTTTTATTGTTACCATTTGTTTTTATCAAACTGCTCCTATTTAGTTCTTTGTAAATGAAAATAGTTTACTAATGTGAAAGTGAGCAGAAAGTTCTCCAGGTTGTGAGAAGATGCCTGTTAAGAGTTTTTGACCACTTTAGTTCATCCCATCCTTATATTGAAGAAGGCAAATGAGCTAAATAATGTGCTCATGCCAGATTATGTTTACCTTACTATGTGGATGAATTATTTGAGTCACTGAAAAAAATCCTTCATGTATTAAACTCATGTGTAAGTTTAAAAATCAAATACCTATGAGTTAATAACTGTATAGTTAATTCACTAAAATCATTCCTTCATGGTTTCGTGACCTTTTTTTTAATTATTATTATTTTATTGCTATGGGCTATCCCATCTGTAATCTCTTTCATGACACAATGAGGCAGTAGGCAGGAAGGTCATCCTCTCCCTTGAGAATCTCTGCTCTACAAAATAATTGTATTCAGTGTTATTTTTAAATCTGCAGTCTCACTAACTTATCAGTATTTCCCTCAGTCTCAAAACAAGGACTAATATCAGCATGATACAGGTGGTCCTTGACTTTCAGTGAATCCATTTGAGTTTTCCACTGTGTAGTAATGCCAAAACAATAAGAATTCAGTGAAACTATCCTTTGTAAAAGTTCCCTCCTAGGTTACCTTATGCCTTAGCTGGATATTTTAATAGCATTGTAGAACTCCACTTTATATTTCTCTGGTTAAGGAAAACAAAACAGATTATATTCATCTTAATGATGCTTGAACTGGCCTTGTCACATAATATATCCATATATATCCTTTGAATGTCTGTTTTGTGGCCCTCTCACTGGTATAGAATGACTTCTATATCTGGCTTCTATGATAGAAATAAAGCAAATTGCAAAGTGGTTGTAGGACAGTGTTAACTCATTGATATCTAAGGATAGCTTTTCCATAAAGCTATGCTCTCTTTCCATTTTCAGCTTGTTGGGAAAATGTGGTATATTGTAGCATAATGAGCCCATGCAGACATCTTTGATGTCATGAAAAGACCTGAACTTGAGTCTAAACCTTTGACATTCAGTCTTCACTCATTTACACATTGACTCATCACTCTTTACCAAATGCCAGTCTTGTGTCCCATTTTCTGTACTTTTTACTAGAAGAAGTTAGAAGTTAAGACCTTCTTTACAGTTATCAAAATGACTAAGTGAGATCATTTTCTAACCTAAGACACAGTAAAAGCCTATTATGGATAATGATATTATAGCCTAACTGGCTCCACAGTTCATGTAGGAACCAGTCAAAGTAACGGTCCCGTGACATTTCTTAGGGATAGTCCATGTTTGACCAGCTCATTATCAGTATTAAATAGACACAGATTAATTTAATAACTTAGAGATAAAATAGTAAAATGTTTTAAAATGTATATAGTTATTTGTTGGTAATTTTATTTCTTGATTCATATGTATCTTTTTTTTCTCTAGAGAGCTTAGTCTGTTATCTATATATCTTTGGGGCCTCTGTTACAGTTTTTAAAATAGGGGATAGAGAGATTGCTCAGCTGTTAAGAGCACTGACTGCTGATACAGAGGACTTGGGTTCAGTTTCTAGTACCTACATAGCAACTAACAACCGCCTGTAAAACTCCAGTGCCAGGGCATCTAATATCTTCTTGTCAAACACTTATAGTTTAAGAAGCTTAAATAAAAGTTACAAGTTGCATGAGAATTCTTATTAATGAGATGTGCTTTATTCTCCTTAGTATTCTTCTTTAATATTCTTTATAATATGTAGTATTATTTTTTAATGTAAACATATATATGACAGTTCCTCTGCTTTTCAGTAAATATAAAAACTCTGGTATTTATTCCTTACCATAAGCATGTAATTCTCTGGTAAAAGTATAAATCAGTCAGCTGGGTTAATTCTCTTTTCTCTTTTATCATTTCGCAATGTTTTCCCTAAAATTATAATATTTGAAAGATTTCATGACAGCATTGTAATAGAGACCATGTGTAATTATATAATATCTTCAGCTGGACCCAAGTGTCTTTCCTTTCTTCCTACTTCCTACTGTTCCAGTCTTTATTTTGTTTTTGTCATTTCTAGCATTTATGTTACAGCTAGATGCTGAAACCCTGCTAAAATGCTTTCTCCTGGAAATATTCCAGCAGAGCTCAGGGCCTTTCCTAGTTCAGTGCTTTACTGTTCTATACTCAGTAGAACTGAGCTGCAGCTTATTTTTGCATTTGTCAGCCCTAATTATCAGTTTCCATTCTTTGTCCTTTTGTAGCTACTTTAAAAGGATTTAGAGACTTAAGAATAATAGTTGAGTCTGCTTGGATAGTGCCCCTTCCTGTTCACTGATTTCTTAGACATTTGGTGGCAAATTTAGCCAGTATGTATTTGGTTTTGCTAAGCATAAACTATAAATTCAGTATAAAGAAAGTTTTATGATACATTGTGGATACACAGTTCATTTCATACACCCACATACATACAAACATGTAGTTTTCCTTGGTCTAATTTGGCAAATCTGTGTAAACCATTCTATGGAATTTTATTACTCTTCTAATAAACAGGGGAGACACAACTTCATTTGCTTATGATCTCACTCCCACACTTCTAGATTGACTGAACAGAACTTGCTTTTCCAAATTATGTCCTTTGAATAAAGAAGATAAATTTATCGTTTATTTTGTTTTAAATGATTTTTTGATGGGACTGCTATGTATAGCTTTCATGTTAGAAGTCAAAACAAAAACTACAAATTTAGTTTTATAATGTTCTCATAATCCCGAAAGGATCACAAAATATAAATATAGGGACTAGAGAGATGGCTCAGCAGTTAAGAGTGCTGACTGCTCTTGCAGAGGACCTGAGTTTGATTCCCATCACCCACATGGCACCTAACAACCATCTGTAACTTCAGTTCCAGGGAATCTGATGCCCTTGTCTGGCCTCTTCAGGCACTGCATGACATGGGTTCACTTACACACGTGCAGACAATATACTCAAACACGTAAAATAAAAAATAATAAATAAAATAATAAAAAGATAAACATAACATGTTGTCAGAAGTATCCCTAGTTTAATTACATTATCAACAATGCAAAACTTTTCTTAGGAATTAATTGATCTTTACTTTTGAAATAAATTTTTATTTTGTTCTCTAAAATTGAGATTGTAAAATCAGTAAAATTATAAATTATATTATATTTAAAACACACACACACACACACTTTTTGTGCTGCCTCAGAAAAGGTGCTTGCCTGTTCTTTCTTTTTCAAAAGGGATCTCAGAAGAGCAGAAAAGATAGAATGAAGGAGTGTATACACAGTGATGTGCCTTCAGTTCCATTTTGGGATCTTTCTGTCCTCCCCATCTTCCATTCTCATAGATGTTCAGTTTGGTGTGGCTGAGCAACAACTTGGGTCAGCAGTGTTCTAAAGTGCTCCAGTTATTCATAAGGAGCACAAATGTGCCAGTTGCAAAATAAAATTACAGAATAGTGTTGAGATGGATTTCAGAAATACTTAGTGATAATCAATCTAGCAATCCTAAATGCTTTTTAAAAAATACACAGGTTGTGCCGAGCGTGGTGGCTCACACCTTTAATCCCAGTATTTGGGAGGCAGAGGCAGGACCCAGGTTCGATTCCTAGCACCCACATGGTGACTAACAACCATTCGTAACTCCAATTCCAGGGATCTGATGCCCTCTTCTAACCTCTTCAGGCATTGTATGACACAGGTGCACTTACATACATGTAGGGAGTACACTCATACTCATAAAATAAAAATAATAAGCAAAATACTTGAAAGAAACAAAGAGAGAGAAGGAAGGAAGGAAGGAAGGAAGGAAGGAAGGAAGGAAGGAAGAAAACCAGGGAAAGTAAAAACAAAAACCAAGCATTCATGATTGTGTAATTGAGATTCTAGGAGAAAACAAATCCAAAACACAGGTAAAGGGATTTTTCTTTTTTTAGAAGAAACTTATATTAAGGTATAGAATGAGTTGTTAAATAAAAGCAGGTATATTTGATGTATCTTTACTAGTTTCCTCCTTAACCCTTTGTGTCCTCATGTTTTTCTCAGCATGTTGACATAGCAGCATTACTGATAAAATACAACACATGTGTAAATGCAACAGATAAGTGGGCATTTACACCTCTTCATGAAGCAGCCCAAAAAGGAAGAACACAGTTATGTGCCCTGCTTCTAGCACATGGTGCAGATCCAACCATGAAGAACCAAGAAGGCCAGACACCCTTAGATCTAGCAACGGTGAGTCCTCATTTCAGATGGCAGGTGTTGTTTGTTATGACTTCAGACATGACGTTCCATTCCAGGGTTACCTTCTGGAGTGCTTATGCTTACTCTGCTTAGAATAAAAACCTTCTCTTCTAAAATTGATTTGAGGCTCACACTTTCTGTATTATTTTAAGTTGTTAAGATAAGCTAAACAGTAAGTTAGTTACTTTGCCCTACTTAGTTTGCAGGGCACAGGTACATAGATTACAGAAAAACACGTTTCTAGCACTGTCTATATATGGCATATTACTGTAGAGTAGCTAACATGGTAATTTATGCCTGCCTATGAGATATTCAGAGATTTCCTCAGGGCAACAGATTATTATCCTTATAGAAATGGAAATTAAATTAATAAACTTTAGAAGTATCTTTAAACCACCAACTAAATTGTTTCTAAATATTGTTAAAAACATTGCATTGTCTTCCCTGAACTTTCTAAAGATCCAACACTTACAAGTTATAGATGATTTATTTTTGAAGCCACAATTCTTTTTCTATTTTCAAAATTCTCTTTCATTTATGGATTGCTGAGTAACAGACTATTTCAGAACAGTTAGTTACTTATATTAATAATGCTTCTCTACACTGACTGGGAGGCTCCTAGGTTGGACTTACAGGGGTCACATGTAGCTGCATACACCTGGTCGCTTTAGCAGAAATATAAAGACAACTTCACTTATATTCCTGGGCCCTTGGCAGAGGCAACTGGAAGGCTGAGACGAACCTCTTTCTGTCCCCACATAATGGCTCATCGTTTACTAGTCTTGATAGAATTCTTTATAAGGATACTGTTCTCAGGATGGCAAAGACAAAACTCTCTTTCCTCCTAAAGGCTGAGCCCAGAGCTGAATGTTATCATTCTACCACCTGCTGTTGTGCAAAACAGGTCATGAAGACATTTACAGTCATCAGATGGGAAAATGGACTCTACCCAGTGGAAGGGAAAAATGCAAAGATTTTTTATGGCCATCTTTATACTGTCCACGCTATGGCCAAATTACTTACATTCCTCTCACATTAAAACTGTGTTGACAGTCCTCCTAGGTGGAGACAGGTAGCTGTCTCTGGTCCATAATAATTCTCTAATCCTGGCACCCACATGTTATCAGAGCCATCTAGCCTAGAACTAGAGAATGGTCCATAATTGGAGCCCATTGTTGCCCAGGGAACGGTTTTCTGTAGCTCCTTGGCTATACTTACTGAATCATCCCCGCCTTTTCATAAGAAATGGCCCATATTTCCAGCTAAATGACTTTCCCAGCCTGCTGCTAGAAATTGTGGGGCTCCTAAGCCCTTCTTCAGTTTGACCTATCTCTCCCTGTTAGTCCGAACTGGTACAATTGCTTTATAACCATTTGAGTTTTCTATCAAATTACTTGTCATTCATTCAGATAAAAAGCCAGGCCCACAAATCTCTTCCCACCAAGTTCCTCTCTGATTTGGATTCCAAGCTGAAGTGCTGTGAGGAAATTCCCTGGAGATTCTTAGAAGGACTTTGCTCTAGCTACGAGTTCACAGTCTTTTCCCTTACAGGTGTTACAAGGCTTGTCGGTGATACATGCATATCACTGGACTTATTTTTACTCCTAGGAAGTTGTTGTTTTGCCACTGAAGATTTGCTCTTTGACTTTTCTTTGGGAAACTTTTGCTGCTGAGAAACTTGGATGATGGATAATTTTATTTTCCAATGTAGCAAATTCTGGGGGAATGTATTTCCTTAAGGAAAACTCCAGTTATTTTTTAGTACATTGCTGTCTTGTGCTTTGTCACCAGCAGATACAAGGCAGCTCAGTGTCAGAATCCACATTCTTTCTGGAAATGTCCTTAGCCAAATCCATATGTTCATACAATTCATCTTCTTATTTCCATAATATCTCATGTCCATGATGCCAAACATTGTGCAAATCAGCCTTGCTTTCTATTTTAAAAATGTTATTATTTTTATTTTATGTGTATGGGTATATTGCCTGTATGTATATAAGTGCAACTGTGTCGTACAATGCCTGCAGAGATCAGAAGAGGGCGTTGAATACACTGGAGCTATAGTTACGGACAGTTGTTAGCTTCCATGTGGGTGCTGAGAACCGAACCCGGGTCCTCTACAAGAGTAGCCAGTCCCCTTAACCACTGAGCCATCTTCCCAGTCCAGCCCCAGCCCTACTTTCTTTAACTTTCAGTATCAATTGGCTAACTTCAGCTTCAACTAATAGCCACCATGCTAATTAATACCCTTTGTGCCTCTAGCCAAGTACCAATTTCCATGCCTGACATTCATTAAAGAAAAAATTCACAAAACATTTGGTACTTAGTGAAAACTTAACATTTATAATGTTTTTTGTGTGGTTTCTTTAAATTATTACTTTTAGGCTGATGATATCCGAGCTTTGCTGATAGATGCCATGCCTCCCGAGGCCTTACCAACCTGTTTTAAACCTCAGGCGACTGTAGTAAGTGCCTCCCTGATCTCTCCAGCGTCCACCCCCTCCTGCCTCTCTGCTGCCAGCAGCATAGATAACCTCACTGGCCCTTTAGCGGAGCTGGCTGTAGGAGGGGCCTCCAATGCAGGGGATGGTGCAGCCGGTACGGAAAGGAAGGAAGGAGAAGGTAGGTATATCCTACGAATGTTTATTAGTTTATACTTTTCTTAATGAACCAGAGCTGCTTTTTTTCTATTGATTATTAAAAACTTACAGATATCCTGCCTCTAAATTTTTATGTACACAACATGTTATAAGAAAAGTATCTTGAGGCTAGGCATGGTGGCATATGCCCGAAACTCCAGCACTCAGCAGGCATAGGCAGGAGGATCATGAGTTCAAGGACGCTGTGGACTACACAGTGAGACCTTGTCAGAAAGAGTGAAAAAGAGCTGAGGGGAAGATAAATGGAAGGGAGGAGGGGAAAGAAAAGGGGTCTGGTAAAGGGAAATAGAAAGGGAAGGGAGAGAGAAAGGAAAGAAAGTGAATGAGGAAGGAAGGGAAGGAAGAAGAGAACCTAAAGAGAGAAGAAAGAAAAGACAAAGAATCTAAAAAGTCCTTGGGAGGCTGAGGTAGAAGGGTTCAGAGTTTGGAGCCGGCCTGAGGATACGTTAGGGAGACTGTCTCAAAAACCCAAAGAAAAACAGTTCATTAAAGAAGTCTGCCAAATTCCTTTGCATGTCTTTGGTTGTTTATGTATTTTGTATTCTAATATTTCCATTTCCAGTCATAGTATTTCTTTGAAGCACTGAGTAAGTCATGCTACAAAAATTTTGTCAGACAACAACTGACATCATTTAAAGAATGTAAACTAAGGGCCTAGGGAAATGTCTTAGTAAAGTGCTGGTGCACAGCATGAGGACCTGAGTTTCCATAACTAGCACACATATGAAAAGCTGGGTGCAGTGACACACACCTATTTCCCAGTGTACTGAGGAGGCAAAGCCAGAGGATACTGGGACTTGCTGGCCAGACAGTCTAGCCGAATCAGTGAGCTTCAGGATCAGTAAGAGACTTTATGAATGAATGAATGAATGAATGAATGAATGAATGAATGAAGTGGAGAATGATTGAGGAAGATACCCGAGGTTGACCTGTACACACACAAATACTATAGATGCATAAATAATGAAAATTAGTTTTAAAAGAATGGAAGTGAACAATAGTTGGTATCTTTATATTTTTTTAATTCATTAAAAGCATTATATCAAATATGGGCTGTAGCAGTTACTGCTGTTGCAGACCCTAGTTCAGTTCCCAGCACCCACTTTGAGTGGCTTACACCCACATGTAACTCCAGCTCCAGGGGATCCAGCACCCTCTTCTGGCCACTGTGGGTACCTGCACTCATGTGCACATAGACACATAAACCTACATGTAAGTAAAAATACTAACAAATCTTTAAAACTGTATAAAATAGTATTATTATATTAAAATTAATGCCATATCATAGTGTCCACTATATATCTCACAATATGTAAATCTGTAGTCTAGCTCTGTACTCTAATTGTATTAGAATTAGTAGGACTATTACTGATATGCTAAAGATAAGGTATACGTTTGCTGTGCATTTAACTTTATTTTATGCCATGTAAAACCATCTGCATTAGCCAGAGGTCAAGAAGTATGCCTTTACATAAATACTGAAACTTTTTTTAGGATTTTAAAGATATTTCTGAGAAATGTTAATGTTTCTGTTTTAGTCGCGGGTCTTGACATGAATATCAGCCAATTCCTTAAAAGCCTTGGCCTTGAACACCTTCGGGATATCTTTGAAACAGAACAGGTAAATTTGGGTGTATTTTTTCATCTTTTTAACTGTTGAGATTTTTATTGCCACATATTGTTTCTTCTTTGCTTCTTAGCAGCTATTTTAAAACTTGTAGTATTTCTGGAAAACCAAAGAAGCCCAGTATTTTATATTTCTCATCAGAGTTGTCTGGCAGTTGAGAGTCTTTATTAATTTG